CTAGGAAGTAAGTCCAAACAACTTCCACCGGCCCGGGAATCGAACCCGTGACATCTCGCTTGCGAGGCAAGAACGGTACCGCTTCTACCACAGGTCCCCACCATCGGTACAATGTGTCACACCGGTGCTCGGAAGGCAAGACTACCAACATAATGCAGGAATCACAATTAGTGATCGAAAATATTCGTCCATTGTGATTCCTGCATTATGTTGGTAGTCTTGCTTTCCGAGGACCGGTGACGTTGCCAGTTATTATTCCTGTCATTTGTTGCAATTATGGTGAATCACTGTGCTCCATCTTTAGTAGAATATTATAAAGATATTACTGCAGCGAAAATGTATCAGCGGCAGTCAAATAGTGGGTGTTTACTGCTGGAAATCCATGACCAACACTAGTACCCAAGACTCATTGAAAAACACAACTTGCCCCGACAGACATGGAGAAATGTCACTTTCCGAATAACGATATACTGCAGCTATATATCAATGTTTGTTAGCTATTATATAGCATTATGGTTACCTCATTGTAATTGTAATAGGTATAATAATTACAATAATCATAGAGTGCTAATGACTATTAAATATTGTTACTAACACTAGGTTAGATTAGGTTAGACAATGACAATACATTCTAGGAAATGGAAACGATATTCATAGATCTTTTTTACTTTTTAATTTTATTATTAGAGTTTCTACCTATCAATATTTAGTATAACCATCCCCTCATGTTACCTGTGATGTCTTCATAGTGACTGTCAATCCCATGGGAGGACTTGACGACATCGTCTCGTAAAGTGTATCAGATAATGTTCCGTTGCCAGCACGAATCATGAGATGATACGTTGTATTCATAATTGTTACCTCATCAATTGAGGTAGAAATAATATCGAAATGCAGTAAATCATAATGCCATTGCAATTGGATATGGCATCAGGATACACCTGTAATTACTATATTTGCAAATGAATGTAATATCGGATCATAGTGTTTCAAATTTCGTTCGAAGCGATTCCATTGTAACCTCGGTTCATGACAACTTAGTAACGTTATATACCTATTAGGCAAACCATCCCCTGGGGCTGAAATAGTGTCTTAGGTGCATAAATTAGCGGTGTTACTCATGACGTTATTGGTTTTGCATATGGTATCACAATTCATCCTATTTCATTACATTACATAAAGAATAGTTAGTATACTGCAGATATCGTGGTGAATATCAGGTGTAAAAAGAAAGAACGAAAGGTGTAACTCACGATCAGAAACACCAACCGAACCGAGACTGCTGAGCACGTGTTATTGTGTTCATTTCCAAATACATCAGGCCCAGGGGGGGACGATACTTTTTGGTGAGAGTTTACACAAGGGTGATTTCTGTATATACTGTATGTATGTGTTTTCTGATGTTTTCAGCCTTGTCTACAAGTGTTTGTACTTACTGTAAAATAATTTTTCTTACTTCATACAGAGTGGAAATTAATTTTTATGTGCTCTCTGCCCTTCTATATGATTGCCACAACATTTATAAATACGAAAAATAGTACTGTCTGAGTCTTTTGCCGTGTAGTGCAAGAGGCGATACAAAAAGGGAAAAGAAGGGAAAGAAGAGAGAAAAAATGAGTAAAAGAGAGGGGAAGATAGGTAAAAATTTGAGCTGTGTCACCATGAGCCACTTCATCAGTATATAACCACATGGCAACTTACTACCATTATGTTCTTGAAAATTCAGCCTGAATTTTACTTTAGAAATACTAGGAACAATTAATAAGAAGTTTAATGATCATTCGGTGAAGTGATTCAGGAAAGCCTTTATTTAAAAGCAAAATATATATAAGGGGAATCTAATAACGCCATAAGCTTGGAAAAACAAATGATGTTAATTTCATAAGGTGATAGTTCCATCGTTAGCTAATGAACAGCGCCTTACCGGTAATCTACACCCCCAAAGTAACACACCCATGGAAACTACACCAAACTAGAGGTCACCAACATTTTGCCTACACTGACGCATTTTTATGATTGGTGATTGCAAAGTGTCTTTACTACGCATACAGTCTACGATGTCGTTCATGTGTTGAGTTCACATCCAGTTTGTTGTTATTAGAGCTGTACGTAAATTTAAATCTTGAATTGACACACACGCAGGAGCGACTGACAGATACTACCTCTGTCCTTGTCCCTCATGACTTGAACTTATCACTGCTGCTCGACTGGACACTTCACTGGGATTTTCGACTCTCAAGGAAGTGGAGGAACCGGTAAGAGGCAAAAATTCTTCCTTTGAAGTGGGAACTGCAGCTGTTGGATGATGCAATACTTTTCGCTTCCAGAAACATACACCCAGGTCTTGCTACAATTACGAAGAGGCTCCGAGAACCTGTAAGCTTTTCGTGGCGAAGATTAACATTAGGACATACACATTCTTACCCCGTATTAATAACACATGAATAGGCAGACAAAAAAGTCTGCACAATGAACGACTCCGACTTCACAAACACGGCCATTGTAGTGATGAGTTTGACTGTCGATACGGTTCCTTGCTTCAGTCATTTCTGGTAGCCATGACGATAGGTTTCTTTCTGAATGTAAGTATACAAGATATCCAGTTTATAGTGATGTACTGTACAATGCCGGTGGGCGTGAGTGTTTTATGTATATAATAACTACTTCGACATATATACTGGAGATGCTGTAAAGTCTCTGTCATTGGTCACCTTATAAATACGACGTTAAAGTTCCTTGACGATAATGAGAATAGTGCAGGAACAAAGCAAACAGAATAAAGATATCATTCCCATCTGAATTGAAGAGTGTACTCAAAATATAATCCTAAATAAAATGAGATACAGGTTTCTCTCTCTCTCTCTCTCTCTCTCTCTCTCTCTCTCTCTCTCTCTCTCTCTCTCTCTCTCTCGATAAATGAAAGCAATATTAAGGAAGAGATAGAGAGACCGAGCGGCAGACATTCACGATGGTCAGGTGAACGACCGGTTAGAAGGGCGAATAGAATAGAGTTTATGACAACTCCTCCTGGGGGTGTGGGTGTGGTCCTCCCAGCTATCACAGATACCTAACCTAACCTAACCTAACCTAACTCACTCTACAACCACACGACTCACTCTGCAGCTCCCATAGCCTCTGGGTCAGCTATATAGGTCAAGGTATATATTCTTTTTGATGATATGTAACTGTTATTGTGGAAGAGATATAATTCATGTTCGGATCACCTGGCTACACACTCACACACACACACACACACACACACACACACACACACACACACACAACACCATCTGTGAGGGAATTACTACACCACGTGATGCCCCTCATAACACCATCTGTGAGGGAGTTACTACACCACGTGAGGCCCCTCATAACACCATCCAGGAGGTAATTACTACACACGTGAGGTCCCCCTGGCAACACCATCTAGGTAATTACACCACGAGGTCCCTCAACACCATCTGTAGGAATTACTACACCACGTGAGCAAGCCCTCATAACACCATCTTGCGGGGAATTACATTACACCACGTGAGGTCCTAACATAACACCAGCGGTGAGGTAATTACTACACCACGTGAGGTCCCTCATAACACCATCTGTAGAGGTGGGCTCACTACACCACGTGAGGTCCCTTTATAACACCAACTGAGTGGAATCCATTAAGCACCACGAGGTCCCTATATCAATTCAACTGAGGGAACGCACACACCATGTGAGGTCCCTCAGTTAACACCATCTGTGAGGGAATTACTGCTAACTACGAGGTCCCTCATAACACCATCTGTGAGGTAATTACTACACCACGCCAGGTCCCTCATAACACCATCTGAGGGAACTACTACACCACGTGAGTTCCTCCTAACACCATCTGGGAGGGAGTTACTACACTACGAGTTTGCTGTTCAACACCTACAATAATCTGTATGTTCACTGTATGTTCCTTTACCTTTCTCTAATGAAGGCTTTTGTTAAACCACCAATATATGTAATAAGTCATTTATGTCCAATGTATATTTTCAGCCTTCGGGCTGCAGAATTTTTTCAATAAACCCTTAATTATTATTATTATTATTACACGCAAATACACAGACAGAGACTTAAATAACTTCTTAACAAACAGCCATTATCCCTGCCTCATTACACCTTGTCTTTCCCAAAAACCACAAAATGCCACATAGTTGGGAACTCCCTTATTCTCTGGCAACGCTCTCTCTCTACGTCTCTCCTCCACCTTCAGTACAGTCGCCAATCTGAATAAATCCACCACCACCACCATCATCATCATCATCATCATCATCATCATCATTATTATTATTATTATTATTATTATTATTATTATTATTATTATTATTATTATTACTATTATTATTATTATTATTATTATTATTATTATTATTATTATTATTATTATTATTATTATTATTATTATTATTATTATTATTATTATTATTATTATTATTATTATTGTTGTGTAGTGAAGAAAGTAGACAAACAGCATTATTCTTATTCTCTTCCTGTGAAGAGTGAAAGAATAAATTAATCGCCAAAAGGATTATAAAATAGTAATCTTTAGTCAGATTAAGGAATCGTCGATGTTTTCGATGTTGGGTACTACATTCAAGGAATCCCTTGTGATCGACGATCCCAAAATACAGTTCAGTTGAGAAATAGTCTACTTGTGTGAACTTTTCACTCTTGCTGAGGTACAGTAACCTTGAACGACTCATTACCTGCCGAAGAAAATCAACAAGACAGGCCACGATTGACGAATTTAGCGGTGAACGAACAATACTATTATATGACCCTCCCCTTGTAACGATCGGTGAAAATTGCCAAGCCATTGCTGGGTGGGGCTTTAAAAAGTAATTTATTCAGTGAAAGTGAAGAAGAACGTGAAGTCCAAGAACCCTGTCACGTCTCGAAAATCACCCATTCTCTTAGCTCCCCCTCCCTCACCCTTCTCCCTAACTATCAGGATTCAGAGGTGCAGCGGACCGCGAAACTTGGCAGTGGTGGCCTGGCTGGACTCGAGGAGCCTTCGAAATCGAGTGTAGTGGCTCAGTCAGTGTTGGATCCAGGTGAAAGAATCACCATGTTGTCTGCGGCAGTATTCCTGGCTCTAGTGGCCCTTGGTAAGACTGAAACGTTCTTTTTTTTTTAAATGTTGATCTTGTTAAGCTGCTTATTATTAACAGCTACTACTGTGTGTGTCAGGGAGAGTCACCTTTTGTGTTATCTGTTAAGTAAATCTTTTATTTGTTTGCTCTTTTATCTTATCTTTAAAAAAACAAGGTCGGGGTTCTTGAGTGGCGCCTTTAATTGTCTGATGACCTTGCTCGCCTTGTTCCGTAACTCAAAGGGTGTCGTGTGACCACCGTCTTACCAACAACACCCTTTATTTTACGACCACATACATAAAACAGACCAGCCAGTTTCTGCCCTTTTCAAAACTCTTAGACCAGTTTCGGTACAAGGTGGCACGAGCGAGGATCCCAGTCATGTAAATGTTGAGTACAGCGGCCATATGGCGGCGGGGGACCAGTCGTGGTGAAAGGCAAACCATTTCTCTCATGCAGACCGTGATCAATACAGTTTTTTCTTTGGTCGTCCAGCCATGATTCATCAGACCATGAAAAAGCTGCCTCTCGTCTTGGCGGGAATGCATGAGAGTCTTATGATGACTATGTTATGAAAGTCTCCTATTGGTTGTTATTATTGGCGTGTATTGTGTATGTGTTTGGGGAGTTGTAATTGTTTGCTAGATATAAATAAACTTTAGGTACTGCATATGCCAGTGTTGTTAGCGCGGACCACTAGATCTAAGGTGTACTGGAGTGCCTCAAATGCCAGGGTTATTAGGTACCGTTCACTGTGTCTTGAAGCTGAGTGGGTAAAACGCTTTCCTCCCGATCTAGGAGTCGTTGCTTTGATCTTTGGACACCCCTAGTCCACCCAGCTGTAAATGTGAACCTGACTTTAACAGTTGGGAAAGTGAAGGCGATCGGGTGTTGTACCGACCACGTAGCCTCCTTGTGTACAGAAGGCTTAGTATACAGTGTGCTGTATCCATGCTGTATTGAAATGTATTTATGCTTTACCAATTTATGAAAGTAACCATAAATTATTTATCAGAATAGACAAAAAATAAAAATAAATTACATTTCTTGAGGTGAAATGTGTGTTAACGAGGAGCAGTGGACAATGAGAACAAGTGTTGGTGGTGCCTGTTGCTGACTACTGACACTTGGTGTTAACTGAGCCTGGTTGTCAGTTAAGTCTGTGCTGACACTCTAACGTCAGATGCTCACGTACGACAGAATGACTCCGTTGTCTCTTGTGGCCGAGATGGCATTTTAATTTTTTCTTCTTTTCCCGCATAGTCTAAAGTCTCTCTCTCTCTCTCTCTCTCTCTCTCTCTCTCTCTCTCACACCATTGTGCCACTTTTTTGTAAACACCATCGACCTCTCCACCACCTGTAATCATACACAACCCGTCACTTACCCGTCCTTGGAGGGAAGCAGAGATAAGGTGTGAGCCTGAAGAGGATGAGGACTTGCACAGGGTGAGAGGTTGTAGAGGGGTAAGATGAGTGCGTTGGGAATAATGATGTCAGGGCTTGGACGGGGTGGGAAGGGTATCTATTGTCCACGTGTGTGTGTATGTGTGTGTCTTTGTTTGTGTGTGTGTGTGTGTGTGTATGTGTATCGGTAATGCACCAAATGATCCGCTTTGTAACTTTTTCGAGGAGGGCTCACCCCTGGTGAGGCAAATTCAGTAATTCTGTTTGTTCGATATATTGTGTTTTAAAGCACATAACAGGTACGATGTTGTATGAGAAAGTCTCCAGTCAATGACACTCCGGCTCGGTTCACTTATGTCTGGATTATGTAATACAGGCGCAGCATTTCCTTGGTTTTAAGACAAGGATAAATTTCTGGCCTCTTCCTTAGCAACCAGTGCGACACACAGGGACAACAGGACCTGCTCTACCTGGAGGTGACCAGGTAACCCCCCCCCCCTCTCCAGTGCAGTGATACTTCCCCTTCCCCATTCAAGATCCAGGACCCCACCCACTCCACTCCTTCCCTCATCCACACAAAAGTTCTTTCCGTCTTTCCTTTCTGGCACCAACATCCCCTTACTACGGCCCCATCCCTTATCATTCCCACACTCGTTCCCCTCCCCTCCCCCAAGTGTTCTCAACCTCCTTCACGTCGCCACACCCCGACTACTCCATGCCAGCACAGACCCGCTCAGGTAGCCCACCTTGGCCAGATTTGCACCACCACTCCGAGACCCCCTCCCTCCCTCCCTCCCTGCCTTCATCCCCCTCCCTCCCTGCTCTCACTGCCTGCGCCACCATACCAGACTGAGGGTAGGACAACACACAGGAGAGACCTTCCCACTCATGAGTGGAGTCCCTCAGGGGAGCGTCCTCTCCCCCGCCCTATATATTATCTACACAAGTGACACTCCGCCTCCCACTAGAATTGGTAACGAAGATATTATGTATGCAGATGACATCACTCAAATAACAACACATCAAGGAAAATCGCGAGCGCTACAGGCCGACAACACCAGGCGGGAATTAGAAAGGGTTTAATAATTACGAAGAACAATGGAAAATCCAAACCAGTCTCCCGAAATTCACAGTGATACCCTTATGCAGAAGGAAAACCCATCCATTAGTAACCAATAATGCCCAGATAGAATACAAAAGCAGAGGGACCCTCCTGGGCCTAGATATATCCACGACAGATTACGCCCATCATGTCCACAGCAGGAAGGAAAAAGCAAAAAGAGAGCTGAGAAAACTATACCGCTTTAAAGCGCTTCCTGAGAAAAAAAAACTCTGTCTAGTGACATCATTTATCACACCGATATTAACTTACCCAGCAATACCTCTTCATACTATGAGCACTACTCAAATAATAAAATTACAGGTGGTTCAAAATGAAGCCCTAAGAATCGTCACAGGCGAAAGATACCCCTTCACCAGAACCACAGCCGAGATACATAGAGACCTGAGAATGAAACCCATCAACCAGCAGCTGCACAACCTGGCCAGCAGAATCTGGCAAAAGATAGAACGATCAGAGCAAGAACTCCTTCAAAGACTCCCACCAGATAACGACAACAACCATACATGGTTCCCAAAAAGTTACCAAATCTCAAAAGGTCCATTGCCACCCCCGATCTACACGGCCAGGCAATAGACAACCTCCCTAGACCAACATCCGCCAGTAGGGTCGGCGGAATATGAAATAAGGCCCTTAAAACCCCCATGTATGGGATAGGGTAGGATGTCTAGTGCCTGTACCGACAGACAATAACTAATCCATGACACAACCCTAACACACAATTAGCTTAGCTAGGCGGTCAGCCCGCCCTCTCTTACCTCCTCCTAACTTCTTTAATTTCCGAATTATAACTTCCTTCCCCCACCTCTAATCTTCTTTCACCCTTCCTTTCTCTACAAAAAAAAAAAATACCGTAAATACACCACCTCCTTCCCTCCCTCTTGCCCTCGCTACATGCATCACTACACATAACACACCACCTCCCGTCTGCCTTTTCACCACCAACAGCGCCACACCACCACTGGCTCACACTCCCGACCCAGTTCTTACCAGTTTCAACCACCTCGTTCATTCATTCAATTACATTCGTCGATTGGAACGATTTTTTAGTACTAGTTTAACGCAAATGGAGTAGACTAGACAAAATTATTTAAGAACATCAACAAACAGTATTATTCGAGCAGCAACAGGTAGACAATCTAGATAGGGTAGACGTTGCTCATATTGTCTATAAGGAACTCACGAGGGCTGGTGACTGGAAAAAAAACACCACTCTCTCGAATTTGATATCATGACCATCAACAACACTACCCTAGTTATCATCACAGGTTAGACTAGAACCTCATGACATAACTTGCGATTCCTTTTGCCAGGGGAAGGAAATAGGAGCAGAGTTTCATTACATCTAGCCTGGCATTTCTCACGGTCTCCACGTCACGACCTCCAGGATGTCTTAAGGAGGAGGCAGGTACCATTATAATGCAGGTGTGGAGGAGGTGTTGTTTCAGGGCAGTGGTCTACATGCACATTAATCTGACGCAAGTGGGAAGTTTGAGCAAGTCGAAAGATGAGGCAACAATGACCCGTTTGCCAGGAGGCTTCAAGGGTGATCATTATATCTACATAAGAAGATAAAACTAGAAGAAAAAAGCTGGCTTTGTGGAACATAACATTCGTGTAAATTTTAAAGCACCAACTCTACCTATGTTTTGTTTTTTCACCGTTTTTATTTCGGGGCGAGTTGAACAACCAAATTATTTATCTTATCTGTCTTTTTCATTTCCTTAGATCGTATTTATTTATTTATTTATTTATTTATTTATTTATTTATTTGTCTGTTTATTGATATGTTTATTTATTTATTTGTTTGTTTGTTTGTTTGTTTGTTTATTCGTGTTCCATGGCATCCTGTGCGTTCATTTCTTTACATAAAATAAAATGGTCCTGTGCATAAATTCGATATTGCCTCCAACCTAAAAAAAAAAAAATTATAATGCAAACAACAGCCTTTATTCATTCCTTCATTATGATCGAAAAAATTATTCATTCATGCACCTGTTCTCTTATCATTCATGCACCTGTTCTCTTATCATTCATGCACCTGTTCTCTTATCATTCATGCACCTGTTCTCTTATCATTCATGCACCTGTTCTCTTATCATTCATGCACCTGTTCTCTTATCATTCATGCACCTGTTCTCTTATCATTCATGCACCTGTTCTCTTATCATTCATGTACCTGTTCTCTTATCATTCATGCACCTGTTCTCTTATCATTCATGCACCTGTTCTCTTATCATTCATGCACCTGTGTTAACACAAACTAACCCAACACAAACTAACTCAATGTTAACACAAACTAACTCAATGTTAACACAAACTAACTCAATGTTAACACAAACTAACTCAATGTTAACATAAACTAACTCAATGTTAACATAAACTAACTCAATGTTAACATAAACTAACTCAATGTTAACACAAACTAACTCAGTGTTAACACAAACTAACTCAGTGTTAATACAAACTAACTAACCTTTAACACAAGTTA